CGGGATTACTACAACAACCAGTAATTCCCGAGTGGAAATGGAAAAGGATTACTATGGACTTTGTGACCAAACTACCCAAGACGACTGATGGTTTGGATACCATATGGGTAATAGTTGACAGGTTGACAAAATCCGCTCATTTCCTGCCAATAAAAGAGTCATACAAGATGGAACGATTGACAAGGATCTATATCAAGGAAATCGTGAGACTCCACGGAGTGCCAATATCTATCATCTCAGATAGAGATAGTAGGTTTACTTCACGCTTTTGGCAATCGCTTCAGAAAGCTATGGGAACACAACTTGACATGAGCACTGCCTACCACCCACAAACGGATGGTCAAAGCGAGCGAACCATTCAAACGCTAGAAGATATGCTTCACGCATGTGTGATAGACTTTGGAAGGTCGTGGGATACCCACTTGCCTTTGATCGAATTCTCGTACAACAACAGTTATCACTCAAGCATCAAAGTTGCTCCTTTCGAGGCATTGTATGGGCGTAAATGTAGATCACCGTTGTGTTGGGCTGAGGTAGGTGACACTCAGCTAGCAAGATGACAGACACCAGGCAATGCATTAATGGGACCAGAAATCATACGCGAAACGACCGAGAAGATAATTCAGATCAGAGCCTGACTGCAATCATCACGAGACAGACAGAAGAGCTACGCCGATAAACGGCGAAAGCCCTTGGAATTTAAAGTCGGGGATCGGGTGTTGTTAAAGGTCTCTCCCTGGAAAGGGGTGATTCATTTTGGGAAACGGGGAAAACTAAACCCACGATACATTGGACCCTTCGAGATTCTTGCCCGAATCGGTCCAGTAGCTTATAGACTGCAGCTACCCGCTGAGCTCAGCAGTGTACACCCCGTGTTCCATGTTTCCAATTTAAAAGAAGTGCTTATCTGACGAAACTCTCGTCATTCCATTAGAAGAAATCGAAATCAACGAGAATCTCCTGTTCATTGAAGAACCAGTCGAAATCATGGACAGGGAAGTGAAGCGTACTAAGAAAAGTCGCATTCCAATTGTGAAAGTTCGGTAGAACGCGAAACGCGGACCAGAATTCATATAGGAACGCGAAGACCAGACGAAGCAGAAGTACCCTCACCTATTCTCGCATTCTCAAAGCTAGCCTTAAAAGGAATTTCGGGACGAAATTCCCTCTAACGGGGGGATGATGTCACAACTAGGAATTCTGATGCTTTGTAAAACCCTTAACAAAGATAACATTGTAGTTAAAACTTGAAAACATGTATGGTGCTTATTCAATGACCACAAAATTCCATCAAATACTCTATACAAACATTCAAATAGTCAACAAAAGGTTGGAAACCCTAAAAATCCCGGTTCAAGTCCATTTTGGACTAGGATTTTCTTATTGGGCTTAATGGACCAATAAGCTTCCAATTTGACTATTTTGGGCTTAGAACTCTTATATGGGCTCTAATTGGACCCATTAGCATGAAACTCAACATTTTGGGCCTCATAAGCCTAAAATGGATTTAGTTTATCTTTAATGGGCCTTATTGGGCCATAACAAATCTAATTAGCCCTAATGGGCCATAAAACTCATACTTTGATGAATATTGGGCCGTGAATTACTCTAAAAGGCCCAATGGGCCAAAAATCATCAAAATGGGCCCATAATATGGACTCAAGAACAAAAAGGCCCAAACCATTCTTTTCCCTTACCCTCTCTCGGCCCAAGTAGAAAGAAAAAAAAAAAAAGAAAAAAAAAGAAAAAGGGAGAAATTAAGGGATTAAGGAGGGTTAGCCACCTCCTTATTACTCATTGGATTTCCATGCAAAACTCACATACTTCCATGCATCCATCCTTTCACCTCTCTCTCTCTTCTCCTTCTACTACTCTCGGCCGAGAGTATCAACACACACACACACACACACTTATTTCACTTCTAAATCCTCTCAAGAACTCACAACAACTTATTCACTTCTCCTTCAAAATTTTCGAGAGTTAGGGCTCTTCAAGGAGGTTATTCCATAATAATTATCGACATTGGTAAGTTATTGTTTAGATCCATACTCCAGTCTCTTTATTTCATCAAAACTTCTTCCTAACTCACACCATTTTCGTGATCTACTCCTTAGAAGCTTCTTAAGTTCGAAATCAACCCAAGAAAGCTTGCTAGGACCGAAAAATAGCATCAAACTTTTCCCTTTCTTCTTCAAATCGAAAACAACAAGCAAAGGTGAGTTCATACCCCTCTATTTTCGGTTTTGACAAGTTTTATGGGGGAGAATACAAGTAAAATGTGTAGATCTATGTGTATGTGTATGTGTATGTTATGTGTGATTTCATGTGTTTATGTGGTAAATATGTAACAAAAAGGAAAGAAATCTCGAGATCTATGGCACAAGAAGGAAAATAAACATGATCTAAGATATATTACACTAAACAAGTCAAGAAAAATTACCCTCTAAGGTTATAATAAACATATTGCAACATAAAACTCATTTTTGGACTATATTTGTCAAATAAACAAAAGTTGGGTTAAAAATTGTCATTCACGGTTTTCTTAAGGACCAAAAGAGTCAAAACAGTTAAAATAAATGTTTTATGAATATTATGCTCTTCAAAGGAATAGAAATGTGATTTGTAGCCTAATGGGCCAATTTTTGGGCTTTTCGGCCCATAGGCCCAAAAATTGCGAAAAATATGATTTTCAAGGGGTTGAAATGGTAAATTTCTCAAAACAGGGGGTAAAAGGGTAAACAAAACTATTTCAGGGGTTAAAATGATTTTTTTTCCAAAAAGGATAAAAAATGTAAAGTTTTTGGAATTTGGGTCAAAATTGTAAAAGTTGCGAAAAGTTTGGACTTTAACTGAAAAACTCTTTGATGAAAGGGCTGAAACTGCCAAAGAGTAAATTTTGAGCTAAAAACATTACTTAAACAAGTCTATGGATCAAAAATGTCAACAAAATGGTTTTAGGGACCTAAAATGTCTTTTTTTAAAATAAGGGACTAAGATTGTCATTTTTATTGAAGAAGGGCTGAATAGGTCAAACCAATATTTTGAATCAATTATTTTATTATTAAAATACTTGGGTCAAAAATACCAAATTACAACTTATGAAAATAAAATGAAGAATATACAATTATTTTCAAATATCGTTATGAACAGTCGACAAGCCTCGTGCCGTTGCGAATATTAACAATTGTTCAATCAAGCTTCCGACAATTATACTATACCTAAAACAAGTAAATATTCAAATTGTTGGGCTTGAAAGATCCTAATCATGCTTATTGGGCCTTCGTGGCCCATTGACATGACTTTCGGGCCTAACAATGATAACACATGTCTATTAGGCCTCCTGTGACCCAATTACATGTTTAAGGGACCCTCAATGGCTTTTATGTGCTATTGGGCCTCAATGGCCCATTAGCATTGCTAGTTAGGTCCAAATAAATCAAATGTGAAATGGGCCAACGCGTCCTTCGTATACCCAACAGCCTTAAATAACACACGTAATTAGCAGGACCTCGTAATCCTCTTCTCCTCGTTTGTTAGGCTTACCTTCAATTCAAGTAAACAAATACAGGTCGTTAATCAATGGTAATCAATTTCGTTTGGATTAAGTGAGTAATAACGGGCGACACCTCTAAGTGTCGTTCGTACTCTGTAGTTATAATCAAAGTCTCCTGGAGGGAGAGCGAAAGTTTGTGTATAGATCTATACGGGGGTGACTCCCCCACACCTCAACTGTTCGCTACAGTTAGACTCGGCCAGTCTAGGGTGACAAAATCTTAAGATCAATTCCGGCGTTCGCTAGAATGCCAAGACAGACGAACTAGTCATTATCATGCATGGTTATAACGACTCACATAAATAAATAAATCCAATACTATCCTAGTAATCAAGGAAAATCATAATCATTCGTTGTGACGGTATAACAATTTGAAACAATTATATTATCTTATCGGAAAACATCGGGTTTTTCGAGGAAATCAACACCATTCACTTGTACTTTTCAATAACTATAATGCAAAACTTCTCATTTATACACGCTTTGAAATCATTCATGCACAAACTTATGGACCTTCACACTTTGGTATAAACAATTGTCTTTTCAGAAAATATTGGATTTTCTGGGTTTTATAAACTACACAAAACATTTTTATAACAACCCTGCTTATGAACTCACCAACATTCCATATGTTGACGTTTTCAAAATAACTTGTATTCTCAGGTGACAGGTAAGCTGAAGAGTAATACCAAGTATGTTAGGGTGTTATGCTTTGAAAAACTTTCAAACAATTTATGATATGAATATGTAATATTTAAACAATGTACTTGATGTGAACAATGTCAGTTGTAATGTATTAATGCATGGTGAAGTTTATGTTGTGTTTCATGTATATTCATTGTGATGATATTCAAGTTGAGTCACGCGAGCCCTCGGACGTTTCCGCCGTCTGGTTCGGGTGTGTGACAAATTTAAAGATGGGCGACGATACAACTTCTTCAATTAATGCGTCGTTACATTTTTCCACCACCGGCGATACCCTGATCAGCGTATCCACCAGCGGAACCACCTGCTCCGACGCCGGAGATTTAGCTACACCTTTGTTTTGGTATGTTTCTTCCACAATTTCTCCATCTTCAATTTCGTCTGTGATAGGGGCCGCCCATGTAGCCGATATGCCATCGTCAGAGTCTTCATTGTCGTCCGTCTCAAGTGAATTAACTGAGCATGTTTCACCATCATCAACAGATAGAGTCTTAGAGTTCTTAAACTAGTGATGGTCTCCCTGCGTATCATCGAACGGAGACCAGTCTCTATCAAATTCCACAACACCAACTTTGTACATCATATTGTCGTATATTATATCAACCTCCTCATTAATCATCTTTCTCGATTTGGTGAGTAGACAAACATGACCAGTGGAGATATCAAGTGCATCCCAGTTCCCTCCGTATGTTTCGATTACTTTTCCAAAAGCCTCAACAATCTTAGTGTAATTAGCATTTAATCAGAATCTTGTCGGAACACCATAGATCCTAACCCATGTGATTATTTCAAACTCAGCACTGTCGTCAAAACCTTTCTTAAGCCAGGAGAACCAACTATTCCAATTCTCAGCATTGTCATAGAAGGCATCTGCTTCTTGTGGATTGATGCATCTGATCAACATCTTGAGACCACCTGTGTAGTAAATTCTACCGCTCACATTGCTGTCAAGTTTCAGAAGTGTGGGCATATTAGAGATATGTTGGGCACTAATCACTTCGCCGGACAGCACGCATTCATCCCAACTAAGGCAAGCAACAGATGGTTTAACATGTACCGGGGCTCTGTTAAAACAAGAACCAGCGACCTTCTCTGCATAGGTTCTTAGTCCATTTTGTACTCTAGTTCTAAAGTTGTGATTGTGTGTAGGGGGTGGCAGAGGCGGCTTAGGCATATTTGCATTAGAGATGCTGTCGAGGTTGGGCTGTTTTTTGTATCGGGCAATGTTAACTTTCAAGATACAGTGCTCACATCTGATTCTTGCCATGCTTTTCTCCAACGACTTTGGATCTCGTACTCCTTCGAATCTGACAAACGCAAAAATAGATCCAAATCTATCTCTTTTACCTCCGATGTATATGTCTACCACTTTTCCAAAAACTTCAAACACCTTTCTGATTTTGAATTTTCTAACACCCTCTGGAAGGTTAGAGACGTAGTATGAGACAACGTGTGTCTTCTCCATGTGGAGATGAGGGGGCTTTTGTTTTCCGACCAACTTCCGTCCATTCACCATTTGGGGTATTTTGATCATCGGACTCCTGTGAGAGCATTGTCGTAAGGGGAATTTAGTATTAGTTAAGGTGGGTCCTTAAGTCCTTTGACCCACCTAACTTTTTAAACTTAATAAAGATTTATATAGCAAAAAAAATGTGACCTACCGTATAAATTTTAAGGGAACTACTTTAGTTGGAAAAAACTAAAATTCATACCTCAATTTTAAAGGCCAACAATTCATATCTTCTTATCAATCAAATACTTAATCTATTTAAAATAACACATTAAACAATAGTTCACTAAAAATTGTAATTAAACAAAAGAATTTAACTTTATTTGTTTAAGTATGGAGATTTTGAAACGACATTGATTTTGTGATTGACGTTCTCAATGTTTTCGGCGCCCTCAACCAAACGACTCACACTCCAACAGGTTTGTACAATTCTCAGTTCACAATTGTATTACTTTGGTATTTTGTGTAACTTTGTTTATTTACGTTTAGTAGTTCACTTAATCAATTTCCATGTTCATTGTTATTTGTTTTCCAATTTTCAATTAATATGGGAAGATTTTGTTTATATGTTAATGTATTTGTTAAATGACAATTGTTTAATGCTTTTCAAATTCCAAGACCTTTATTATTTGATTCATACGGGGCAATTTTGTAAACGTATTTGACGATTTGCCAATTGATTTTTCATCTTTTTGGTTTTTGTTTAATACCTTAACTACATTGATCACCTCAAAATTCCAAGCCTTTGATTCACCTTTGACATTCACAGTTATGAATTTGTCAATGATTTTGGAAATTGATTCTTTGGTCTTTGCTTAACTACATTCGCTTCCAAGTTCCATAGTTTTTTATTTGATTTCCAATTGTTGTTTGTTTAACAAATTAGAATCAATTCAAGTTTTTTTTTTAAAAAGAAATATGAAAAAATAGTAGAAGAAGGTAATGAGCAAAATAAGCATGACTTTTTCATATACATAGTTCGTAGAACTTTTAATCTTTTTTCCATTTATAGGAACTTTAAATATTTTTTTCGGCGTTAAAAAAAATAAAGAATGTAAATTCTCGTTTGTAAGAACATTATTATTGTTTTTTTGTTTATACGATCCGACCCACTACTAGTATTTTTTATTTTTTCATTTATGTCGGTTTCACTTAAATAATGAACCATATAGATTTTTATTCTAGACTCGCGACTGATGGTGATGATGAGGTAAGGCTTTATTGTTCATCATCGGCAAGAGAAAGGGGGTTTCTTTGTCAATGGAGGTGATGGTGACGCGATAATGGTGAAGACGTGAGTGAGTGAATAATAAAATTGAATAGTATATAATATTTTATTAAAAATACAAAATCAAGGTTAAAATTGTACTTTTATGTCAATTTAACGGAAAAAGGTAAAACATGTTAGTGGCATTCAAAACAAACTAAAAGCACAATGATGAAATCAACAACAAAATTCTTTCGGGTATCTAATCCAAAAAATTTAAATAAGTACAGGGACGATTCTTGTAACTTACCCAATTTAAAATGAAAATTTTATTATAGACTAAATGACATAAATAGTCCTTGTAGTTTATAAAAAGGCATGGTTTCATTCCCTAACTATTTCTTTTGCCATGTGGTTTTAATTGCTTGCATAGTTGATCCATTATCTATAAAAAACGACTTTTATGCACTTATTTTTTTTAGACAAAATTACAAGAATGGTCCCTGTGGTTAGGTGGAAATTGCCACTTTGGGCCAAAAAGGTTTGGGCTAGCACTGATGGTCCAAAGGTTTGCATTTTGTTGCCACTTTGGTCCAAAACCTTAACTGCCGTCACTTTTCTCCCGTTACCATCCATTTAATTTGTCAAAGGCAGGGTATTTTCATCATTTAATTAATAAAATCCTTTTACGTATCTCCCCCTTACCACCATACGGATAAAGGCGTCGATCATACTCACATTTATAGTCCTAATTACATAGTTAGTCGTTTCCACTTCGATTGTCATTAACTGGGGATCAAGAACCCTAATCCCATTTCCAGCTTGTGAGCTTCGATCAAGTGAGTTGATCAGTTAATGCAAATACCAATGTGGAATGTAAGGTTGTATGAGAAACCATTCAACGCAAGGGTGGTTTATGGTACATATTTTTTATTTTGCTCACTAAGTTGCATTTTTATGTGAAATCCTCTCATCTGAAACTTCTTTTTTGTTCTTGTTTTGAAGATAGACACCCTACTCTGTTTACCATCAAGCTACATCATAGGGGTGAGTTCACAAAGTTTCCAGATGTGAACTACATTGATGGAACTGTGACATACATTGACATGGTGGATATAGAAGAGTTTTATGTTCATGAAATGGATGCCATCATGAAAGGGTTAGGATACTCAGTTCCTCCGGTTATCTATTATCATTTTTGGTTGCCCAAAGGAGACATGCATTTTGGACTACGTGCCCTAGGAAACGATGATGATGTTCGTAATCTTGCCCAATATGTGAGGAGCATAAAGTCATAAGGGTGTACACTGAACACGGTATTACAAAATTGCTTACTTACTTTATGGCTCCTAAACCTGTTAAAAAGGTTACTATTGAGCAATTAGGTGAAATTGAGGAACATGAAACCACCACAATTGATAACCAAGCTAGTGATAGGAAAAGGAGTTGGACTAAGGACAAATCTTTGTCATTATCCCCTGTTTTACATAATGAAGGTGCTTTCTCATTATCCCCTGAGTATAATAGGAAAATGAGTTGGACCAAGGACAAAGCTTTGTCATCATGCAGTAAGAAATTGGCCATGGATGATGTTGGTGAAGTTAATGTAGGTGGGGATAAGGATCATGCACCTAATGATTTTGATGAGGCAGCTAATGAATTTGATCTTGGTTTGTACTAACAGATTTTACAATCTAATTCTGAATTTGATAATGGAGTCAATGAAGAGAAGGAAGGGGAGGAGGTACTTAATGAATTTGATGAGGGAGTCAATGAAGGGAAGGAAGGGGAGGAGGTAGTTAATGAAGTTAGTGATAATATATATATATGAGGGATTATGAGAAGGATGCTAGAGTTGAAGATGATGTAGATATGGGGGGTTATCAGATGGATGCTGGAATTGAAGATGAAGTTACTGATAATGTAGATGAGGATGAAAGAAGTGATGGGGAGGAGGATAGTGATGAAAGAAGTGATGGGGAGGAGGATAGCGATGACAATGACTTTTGGGTAAATGAGGATAACATAATTCCTGAAGTAGAGGTAGATATGAAGGATTTTTACATGAGTGTTGATCTGGAAGCTGAATTTATGGAAAAGAGAGTAACAAATCCCATGCATAATGACAGTGATGAAGACCCTAAAGACCTTGAAGATTTGGATGTAATTGATAATGACCAATGGGATTCAATGGATGAGGGTTCTGAAAATAGTATGAGGTTTCTCTATACATCAGATTTTCAAGACTAAATCTAATGCAAAAAACAAGTGCAAGGGGATTACAGAAAACAATATGAGGTTCTCAGAGATTACGTCTTAGAGTTACAGTCTAACAATCCAGATACAACTGTGAAGTTAGAATTTGAGTCTGAACCCAACTCCAATGCTACCTCAAGAAGGTTTAAAAGAATTTATGTGTGTCTGGGTGGAATGAAGAAGGGGTTTAGAGCTTGCCTGAGGGATTTTCTAGGTTTTGATGGGGCATTGATGAAGGGCCCTTTCCCAGGACAGATTTTGACTGCAGTTGGGGTAGACTCCAACAATGGAATATACCCCCTGGCTTATGCCATTGTTGAGTCTGAGAACACTCAAAGCTGGAAATGGTTTCTTGAGACTTTAGGAGATGACCTGGACCTATATGCAAACTCAAACTTCACATTTATAAGTGATAGACAAAAGGTATGTAATTGGTATCTTAAATTTTCTATATTTGGATGAAATATACTAACTATGTTTTATTTCCTTTACAGGTTTACAGGAAGCCATTGCTCAGTTGTTTCCATGTGCTGAGCACATATATTGTCTCAGGCATATACATGATAATATGAAGAGAACATGGAGATCCAATGAACAAAAACAACACTTGTGGAATTGTGCCATAGCAACAATAGTCCAAGAGTTCAACCACTTGATGAAAGACGAAGTTTATTACTTCATGAACCGGATCTGGACCCTAAAGTTCGGTGGTTATAGGGAGGTTGTCATGACGAAGCTCACAAGACTAAATACTCCGTTCACCCAGGTTCGGATAAGATGTACCTGTATATTAAAAAGCTCTATTGGTGGCCAAACATGAAAGAAAAAATCGCTACCTTCATGGGCAAGTGCCTGACTTGCGCCAAGTTGAAGATGGAATATCAAAAGCCCTCAGGTCTACTTTAGCAGCCAGAAATACCTGAGTGGAAGTGGGAAAGGATTACAACGGATTTCATCACTAAGTTGCCCAAGTCTCCGAGTGGGTACGATACCATCTGGGTAATTATCGACCGATTAACCAAATCCGCCCACTTCCTTCCGATCAAAGAAACTTTCAAGATGGAGAGACTAACATGAGTATACATCCAAGAGATTTTTCGTCTGCATGGTGTGCCCGTTTCCATTATCTCCGATCGGGATAGCAGATTCACCTCGAGATTTTGGCAGTCACTGCAGAAGGCTCTTGGAACTAAGCTGGATATGAGCACAGCTTACCATCCACAGACCGATGGACAAAGTGAGAGGACCATTCAAACATTGGAAGACATGTTGAGGTCTTGTATCATAGACTTTGGTAAGTCGTGGGACACCCACTTGCCCTTGGTCGAGTTCTCCTACAACAACAGCTACCATACCAACATCAAGGCTGCGCCGTTTGAAGCGCTCTATGGCCGTAAGTGCTGATCCCCTCTGTGCTGAGCTGAGGTGGGTGACACGCAGCTAGCTAAATGTCAAGTCCCCGATAGCACTCTCACAGGCCCATAAATCATCCGAGATACTACAGAAAAGATCATACAAATCCGGGAATGACTAAACGCTTCAA